GTTTTCACGTGGCCTGGGGGGCAGGGGTGGGGCACACATGTAAGGGGAGGCCCCAGTTCAGCCTGTTGTACGGAACACACCCAGTGTCTGGCTGCATTCGCTGTACCTGCCTGAGTCCTCTCTCCGTGGAGGAGGGGCTTCTGGCTCCTCCTCAGGCCCTAGATGGCACGAGGTCAGGGTCCCCCAGGGGGGTAAGAAGGAGGCCCTGGGGGAAGCCTGGGGGGGCGTCAGTATGCAGCCTGCCCCAGACAGGCGGCACAGCCCCTCCCTGCTGCCCCTGGTGTGCCCCAATCCCAACTGGGAAGCAGGGTAGGACCCCACCCCAGCACCCTCAGGGGAGGGGGCTCTGCCCACAGAGCAGCCGGTGCCCCGCGCCCATCCAGCCACTCTGGACCCATGGCAGGACACAGTCAGCAGCTGCCCAGAAAGCTAGTAGCCCCCGGGGGACTGGACCCTGGGGCATCATGGGCGTGGTAGCCACTTTTGCTCACCACCACATCCAGAAGCCTGGGAGAAGAGGAGACTGCGGCCCAGCTGGAACCCAGGTCCTCGCTCAGCCACTGCTCAGCTCACTGCCCCGCGCACACCCGAGGGACACGTCCAGTAGTGCAGAGCAGGGAAAGCTAAAGCCCTGCACTTACAGGCCCCTCCCCACACTGATCCTCCACGTGGTCCTGAAGGCCCCCATGAGCCCATTTCATGGATAAGGAAACGGAGACCCTGGCCATGCAGTCACTGACTTGCCCGAGGCCACACAATTATGAGAGGCTGAGCCAATATTCAGAGCCAGCCCAGGGTGGGCCCTTCCTATGTATTTTCTCCTTAAAACAATCCCTGATCTGGAAACTGAGGCCCGGGCCTTCCAATAGATCTCAGGGGTCCTGGAAGCCCTGTCACCCAGCGCCTACATCAGTCTCCGGGAACCCTGCCCCTGCCTGCGCCCAGCGCACAGGGTTGCTGGCCAAGGCCCTGGTGGACGCACGTCAGAGGGGCCTTCAGGAGCCACGGGAAAGAGCTCTGACCTGGCCTCGGGAGGCCACGTCCAAAATAACCGGCCCCACCGCCCTGTGAGGACTCAGCCAGGCGCACGTAGGCCTCTCGGCCCCGGGCACTGCCAAGCTGGGTGCGGAACGTCACAGCTATTTCTGGGCCAGCCTGGCAGCCAGACACAGCCCCCCGGCGCCCCCAAAGAACCAGCACAAGAGGGGTAGGTCGCTGCATCCAGGACACACGGTGGAGGGACCCACAGGCCCCCCAGGGTGGTGGGGCGCCCCACGCTGCTACCTTTCCTCTCTTCCAGCACCGCTGCTGTGAGGGTTCCGTGTGGGCCCCCGCTGGCGCCCACGGGCCATCGCAGAGCGCCCAGCCCACGCAGGACCCCTGGGCGGACGGAGAACCGTGTCCCATCTCTGAAACAACAACAGGGGCTCTGCTTCCTGCCCTTCAGCAGCTCGAACCCTGAGCACACACAGCCCGGGACAGTTTGATGGCCCAGGCCCTTGGGGAGGCCGGCGCTAGGCCTGCCATGGGCCCCCGTCCCAACACTGCATCTACCCTGCAAGGTCGTAACCTCGTGGGTGCCAGTGGCCATGCAACCCACAGAACCTGAGGCCCAGAGGTGGCGGGAGACTCTGAGGCGGAGCATACCCTCAAACCCAGGCCAGGCAGGGTCTCTAGGAGCCCAGCAGGAGGGGGCAGCTCCCTCCCGTCACTCCAACCCAGGGGTGGGTCTGCCCCACATTCTCGCTCAGGCTGTGACTACTCCTAGAGGGTCACCGGCTTGGGAGTCTGGCCTGGTCCCCATCCTGGCCCCCCCATGGCAAGCTCTGTGATGTTGAGCACATCCCTCAACCTCCCCGTGCCTCAGTTTGATCATCCTTAAGATGGGTTCACTGGAAGCTCCTCCTTCATGGAGCTGCGGATGGCTGTTCCCCTGGGGACTGGAAGAACACTTCCCTTCCAAGCAGCCTTGCCTGAGCCCCTTGAATGCTTCTTCCGTGCCAGACACCCACAGGGACTCTGACAGGACTCTGAGCCCTGCAGGAGGACCCACGTTCAGGATGCTGATTCTCCCAGGGGGTTCCCTGAGAAACTGAAGGGGCTCCTTTCCTGCAAAATGTCCCAGAGCCTTTATTCCTCTATACGTGCAACGATCTGGGGTGGAGGGCAGCCAGCAGCACATTTCCAGAATGTTTTTGACACCAGGCACCAGCAAGGAGGGCACCTCACAGAACCTTGGCAACACCAGGTGGGGTCAGCCCCAGGCCCCAGCCTCCCAGCCGTGAGGGTGGGAGAGCCTCCTGGCCTGCTCATCTATGTGGCTCGGCCCATCTCTGAGCCTGGCTGCTTGTCAGTGCAGTGACCATCGCACAGAGATGGAGGCAGAGCCCAGGCTGGGCCACGCTGACCCCCGACCCCCAGTCCCTGGCATGGTTCCCCCATGTTGGTCATGTGTGGCAACAGTGACCTGAGGGTGGCCGGATTAGCTCCTGGCCGCGGCCATCACCTGCCGTGAGGACAGCAAGGCCGGACGCCTAGGCTGAGCAGGCAGTGAGAAGGTGCCAGCCACGGGAGGGGAGGCACCCCTCCCAGGCACCCACGAAGCACCCAGCCATGCTGCCCCCTCGGCAGCCCCGCCACCACCATCGGAGCTGCCAGACAGAAGCAGCAGAGGCCCCAGCATGGCACATCCTGGGGAGCTGGGCATCAGGACCCGGGTCACCTGCACTGTCCACCCTTAGCATCTGCCCAGCTCCCAGAGGAGGAATTGGGGGACCATCACACACAAGGGAAACCCCTCTTCTCTGGGGTTTCTGATGACCCCCCAGGCGGAACCAGAAACCTCCCAGCAATGTATGAGGGGCCGAGGCACTTTCCAGCCGAGGTCTGCACCCGGCTCCCGCGGGAAGCCCTGGGCATCACTGTGGGCACCCAGCAGGGGTGGCAGGAGGTCCGACCATGCCCCCAGGCCAGCAGGCAGACCGCGCTGGGTGCAGCACGGGGCCCCCAGCCGCCTCCAACCCCCTTTCCCCGGGGCTGCCCAACACAGCACTCCTAGTTTCAAGGGCCCTGAGGACAGCCCCGGGGCCCAGGAACTCCGTCCCCCTGGGCAGCGCCACAGCAGGGCCACTCGGAAGCCCAATGGACATGCAGCTCAGAGGCGTCCTCTGGCAGAGCCGGGCCAGGACTCGGTAGCGCTGCTGCTGGTCAGGAGGCCCTGGGGCTGCACCTTCTTCACACCAGCAGAGCCGGGTGAGTGAGCAGGCACGGCAGCCCCTCCTCGCCAGCCCCAGCAAGGCAAACGTCAACCGGAAAGTGTATAGCGACAGAATGGGGTAATGGGTGCGCTTTAGAGGTGACCGAGCCTGTGCCCACTCCGCTTCATCTGACCCCTCATCAGCTCCGTGAGTCCCAGACAGGGCAAGACCCAAGGTGCAGAGCCCCGTGTGTGGCTGCACAGCCCGAGCTCGCACCCCACTGTGCTGTGCAGAACCCCAGCGGTAGGAGACCAGCGAGACTGCCCCCCCACAACAGATAGGACAACGGGCCACACCCATGGGGGGGGTCACAAAGCAGGGAGGGCAGGAGACTGCACAAGAACAGAGACCTGTCCGAAGCCTGCCCTACGCTCCAGCAAACTCACCAATGCCCCACACCGCGCAGAAGGAAGGCCGGCCCCACTCTGGGTTCCCAAACCCGCTGAGTCCCCTCCGCATCCGAGCACCACCTCACTCTCTTCTCTAAGCTCCTACATGCAGGCCACCTGGGGCAGAGCTGGGCTAATCCTATTTTGCAGACTTTAACTGAGAGCCTGCTCAGGCCAGACTCTGCTGAGTGGGGAGCTGGCAACATTGTTTTCCTGAGAGAAAATTCACACAATGTGACATTTGCCATTGTAACTATTTTAAAGTATACACACTTCAGTGTTTTTTAGCATCTTCACAGTGATGTGTATTCATCACCACTACCTAATTCCAAAACACGTCCATTACCCCAACAAGCAGCCCCACACCTCTTGCGGTCCTCCCCTGCCCTCCCACCCCCGCCGCCCACCCAGCCCTTTACGGAGTACATCTCCACGGATCTGCCACGTCCGTGAAATCATGCACCACACAGCCTTCAGTGTCTGGCTCCCCGCACTCAGCATCGCGCTTCTGAGGGTCATGCACGTTGTCGCGGGGTCAGGGCTGCACCCGCTTCATGGCTGAGAACCCAGTCCACTACGTGGAGACCATGCTCGGCTGACGGGCAGCTGGGTCACTCGCAGGGCTGTCCCCCTTCCACCCACAGGGACTGCACGCACCAGAGAGCAAGGCTGGACACCCACAAGCACCCATGCTTCCAGAACCCCCGTGTACCGCAGCAGCAGGGGGCTTACGTCCTTCTTAGCAGACCCAGCGGGTCCCTCGTGCACCCATGTGTGAGAGAAGAAACCCAGGGAAGGGTAGACAGGGTATGCCGGGGCGGGGGGGGGAGGCAAGTTCTGGAGGTCCAGCCAGGAGGGTGGGCGTGGTAACATGGGGGCGAGCACGTGGGCAGCCCCCCCCCGGGCCCAGCAAGTGCACACCGGGCTGCCGAGGGCACAGAGCAGGCCGGGGAGGGACAGAGGGCCGGGCAGGTAAGGGGGGGCCCTGCGGGGTTCCAGGCTGGCTGAGCAGGGCTGGCCTTCAAGGACGGGGAAGATTTGTCAGAGCATCTTTAGAAGTTACAAACACAGCCACCACACACAAAGTGAGCACAGGTCAGAGATTTATTCATTTGAGAGGGAGCCGGCAGCAGGCAAAGCTGGTTCAGAGGCGAAGCCCAGGCACCGAGTGCTCCCAGCCCGCAGCGACGGAGCTCCAAGACAGGACAGGACAGCAGAGACGAGCAGCGCGCTACGGGGCGACCACCAGGTCACAAACGGTCACAAACGGCACATGCGCGTGGGACTGCCCAGAGTCCAGGCCACGTTCAGCTCGTAAGCAGCAGGTGCAGGCATCCCCGGAGAGCTGGATCGCCCCAGGTGGCCTGCCGGACCACACCTGGTAGGACACTGCAGGACACACGGTCCCCCTTTTGTCTTAAGAGACCCCCCTGAGAAGGGCAAACGGGCTGGGGGTCCGGGCAGAGGTCAGGGCCTGAGTAAAGGCCAGGAGGCAGGAAAGGGCAGGGAGCAGAAAGGTGACCCAGCCTTCAGGGGAACCTGTAAGAACTGCTTCCCAGGGAAGGCAGGCTCTGGTGGGCCCCGGTTCTCAGAATCACCACGGTGGGGGGCGGGGGGGGGCAGGTCTCTGCAACCCCAGATCGAGGTGTGTCACAGAATCAAGCACAGAGGAGGAAACAGAAACTCCCCAGAATCCCCAACGGGGGCAGGAAAGCCCCCATGGGTGGTGACAAGTGAGACAGCAGTGCCTGGACCACCTGAGGTCACTGAGAGTTTGGGGAGCGTCTACCCAGAGCGAGCCCCCACCCTGGTATCTGGGGTACCCCACCCTACCCCCGACTCCCTACCTGGTATCGCCTAAGCTGACGCTGTCCTTCAGGGCTAAAGCCCTTGATGGCACCCACACCACTCAGAAGGAAAGCCCAAGTCTCCCCCGCCCACGGGCTACTGTCCCCTCCACTCCCCTCCCCACACCCAAGGGCCCCACCCATGGGCTATGGTCCCCCCACTCCCCTCCCCACCCCCCAAGGCCCCACCCGTGGGCTACTATCCCCCCACTCCCCTCCTTGCTCTGCTCCAGCCTCACCTGCCTTCCTGTTCTTCCAGGACATGCCATGTGTGGCCCTGCTTCCAGCCCTTTGCCCTTGCTGTGCCCTGTACCAAGAGCTCTCTGTGTCCCCACATCATCCTATGCCCTCACCAGGCCTTTGCCACCTACCTAGGACTCCCTCCTGGCTCCATCTGCCCGTCCAAACCCCACCTCCTTGGAGGCCCACTCACCGGCTCACACTTACTGAACACCTAGTGGACACCCTCCATGGCTGTGCTCTGGGTCCAAGCAAGCTCATGGGGACAAAAGCTCAGTTGCTGGCATGACCACAAAGTTGGCCACAGCAACCAGGCAGTGACCCTGGGGGCCAGGCGCCCACAAATTACAGTGCCAGCAACCACAACAGGCTCTCAGCCGTCGAGGAGCCCCTGCCCAAGTGGATCACCCAACACTGAGGATCTTCTACCCTCGATACAATGGCCACGCAGATCCCCAGCAGAGGGGAGGTGAATGCAGAGCCCTGCCATGTCCAGCACCATCAAGAGAGGGTACTGCACCCAGGCAGGAACAGTGTGGGGAGCTGAGGCCAGCCCCTGTCCCCAGGCCAGCCTCCCCAGGCTCTGGACTCCATGCCCAGCGCCCCCCACACCTCTCCAAGCTTCTCCCATCGTAAGGGCATCTCAGCAGGCCCAGGGCCCAGCCCCCGCAGCAACCTCTTTACAGACTTTTTAGTATCTCCCTGCACGGAGGGGGCGAGGCCAGCAATGCGCAGACCTGGAGGGCAGCTGTGTGGCTAGGTCACAGGCCGGTGGGCCTGGAGTGCAGGACGCGCTCGGGAACAGCCGGTGACCCTCCTGGGACAGGCCCACGGCCGCCTGTCCTCAGTCCACGGGCGCCACTAGAAGATCCAGTCTCACCCAGGACTGGCTGATGGCCACGCCTCCCAGCAGCGTGCTCCTGGATCCCGGATCCTGCCCAGAGCCCTGGTTCTCACGCTCACTTCCTCACAGGAAGGGTCGGGGAGACACTCACCCTGCCCCCAAAACCCCAGCACACTCTCAGGGAGGGCTTTGCCCACAAGGACCCTGCAACAGAGCCTGCCAAAGTGGGGGAGGAGCGAAAGGGGAGGGAAAGCAGTGAGCACATGGAGGGGACAGGAAGCAACCAGGCGGGGGTGCCCCTTGGCTCCCCATGGCCGGCCAGGCAGGGCCGTCTGACCCCCAGCCCACCAGGCTCCTCCTGAAAGCGGGAAGCCAGGCGGGCGCAAGGCAGCCAAGGGCCGGCTGGGGTCAGCGTCCTTCCTCAGGCTGGGCAGGCCCGGCTGGCAGCATCCGTGGGAACTGTCCCCAGGCCCAGCCAGCCACACTCAGGCCAGTCAGTGGGCATCGGGGCCGCCGCAAATGCCAGGGCAGCTGGGCACATCCCGAGGGGCGCTGATCCTGCTGGAGGCGTGTCCAGACCTGCAGGCTGATCTGAGGGTCTCGAAGGGGAGGGTGGAGAGAACAGGGTCTCAGGGCCACCCCCAGCCCTACTGTCACCATCCACGCCCCCAGACCCTGCCCACCTCTCTACTTCACCTCGCAACAGCCCCACCCCTCAGCCACGCTCCCAGAGGCCACAGCGTCCACCTGCACCCTGTTCCCCTGCCCCCTGGGTTAGGGGACCCTCCCATGGCTCCTTGGACCCCACCCCATCCCTGACCATCACACAGACCACCCAGGGCTGAGGCTGACTTCATGGGCCATGGCCATGCTGCGCCTCGTCTGAGGCCCGTGTGGGGGGAAGGGGTGTCATACGGGCTGGACGTGCAGATGGACAGCTCCATCTGCACTCCAGCCTGCGTGCCGCAGGGGGCCCGGGAGCACCCAGCTCCGCCCCAGTCTAGCCTCTGTGCTCCCTGCCCCCCGCGCTCCACTGGGGACCCCCGGCCACTGGCTGTCCTCACAGGCTGGGGGCCCCTCGGGACGGCCCTTCCGGTGACTTCCTGCCAGGGAGGCTGGGGGAGGGTAAACAAGGCCTCCAGATGGCTTCCTGCGGCTGCCCGGCCGTGGGAACATCCCAGCAGCCGAGGTCATGGAAGAGCGGGTGCAGGGGGGGCGGGGGGCTGTGTCACCCAACAGCAGGGCACCCACTGTGCGCCTTGGGCTGCCTGGACCCCCTCCGCCCCTCTTACACTTCCCAACATCCCCACAAAAGTGTTTCCCATCCCCATTTACAGAGGGGAAACTGAGGCACAGGCGGGCAAGTTAAGCCAAAGGCCAGAGGCAGGACCTCCTCTCTGCCCCTTTATTAGGCTCTGGCCCCACCAGCAGGGGCAGGTCATCCCAGCCCCACTTTAGAGATAGGGAAAACTGAGGCCAGAGAGGGGAGCGTGAGCAGGTGGTTGGGCTGGGATGGGGTCCGCCCCCCACTCCCACACACACCTGGAGGCTCCTTGTCTGTAAATGAGGAACAGACAGCCCTGGTTCCAGGCCACTCTGAGAGGACCACACAAGCCCGGCTGAGGGAGCATGGGGCACGACACAGCTGCCTTCCATCCCAGCACACTTCCCACCACACCACCCCGAGCAGGGTTCCTCCACCCCAAACATGCAGCGCCCCCCTGGGGAAACGGCTAGCTGTGAGGGGGGTCTAGGGCAGGGCTGCCCACGGAGCTGCCCCAGCGACACTGTTCACCCCGGGCCCGAGCCCTGGGAGCCCCTCCCCTCTACTGTGATGCCCACATCCTTCAAGCCCAGGCCAGATGCCACCTCCTCCCAGAAGGCCACCCGGACTCCCTGCCCACCACAGCCTCAAAGTCGGAGGGTCACACACTCTGGGAAAGCGACTGCTGTCTCCTGCAGGTCTTGCTCACCCATGGGTCCCTCCCAGGGTCAGGACCACCTCTCTCGGCCTTCACCCATCGCCCAACAGGGGCCAGTGCAGGCCCAGGCAGGCCCTCACGGGGCACGGGGAGGCAGAAGCAAGGCCAGGCCAGTCGCCTGCATTCCCCATCGGACCACGCAGCGGCCGAGATGGAGATAATGGGGGTGGGCACTGACTAATACACGTGGGTCCATCCAGACCCGGAGACCTGGGTCCACGGGTGCCATCAGGAGAGAGGCCCATTTCAAGTGAGACACAGAGCAGTCTGCTCCTGTGAAACCAAGCCGATGGCCAGAAGCCCGGAGCCCATAGCAGTTATAAATTGCCTGGGCTGTTTGAATTCTTACAAGGAACATCACTACATCTGGATTACACCGTAACGACGTAGTGAGGGCCCTGTTGAATGCTGCCCCTCCCCGCATGTGAGCCCCGGGGCAGGTGGTGCTGTCTCTGCCCACCCTGCACAGGCCCACCCGGGCCCGAGAGCCCAGCATGACCCCTAGAGAAGCCAAGGCACCAAGGGCTGCGCTTCCCCAGGTCACAGGCCCCTGGCGAGGGCAAGCGGAGAGCCTGGTGTGATGTGGTCACACACAGCAGATGCAGGGCAGGAAGCAGCGGCTGGGCTCCGGCCCATCCAGTCTGCCGTGAGGTCCAAGGTGTGCTCCAAGTGCCCCATTCTCCAGACAAGAAAACTGAGGCCCAGGAAGCACAGGGGCAGGCCCAGGGTCACCCAGAGAGACCCGGCAGAGCTGGGACCATGGCTCTGGGCTCCTTAGGTCCATGTGGAGGGGACAGCAAGGTGACTGTGGAGAGCCCCGGCCCCCCCCCCAGGCGCCCCCTGAGTTCCACATGGCAATTCCCAGCAGATGGGCCACTGGGCAGCCGGCCAGAGAGTAGCCCGAGAGGAGCTGTGCAGCTGACCCCGGCAGGGAGATGAAAGCAGGAGAAATGTTGGCTTTGGCAGGTCCTGGTCCAGGCAAGAGAGTGAGGAGGGCCCGTGTCCCCACACCAGCAGACGATGGGGGGCGGGGCACCAACAGAAAGGAGCACCCTCTGGGGGTGGGGGCAAAGTTGAAGAAGAGGTCAAGCCCACCACATGTAGCCACAGGGGCGGTGATGGGACAGGCAGCCGGCAGGCGGGAACCCTGGGTGGGGTGGCGGGGAATCCTCCGGACCCTCCCGCGCCTCTTCCAGGAAGCCTGAGTCACAAGACGGGCCGCAGGGCCAGGAGAGTGGCTGGGAGCACCAGTCCCATGGGAAGGGGACAGGGCAGGGCAGCCTGCCTGTCAGCCCGCCTCCACCGGCTGGGCCAGCCCCGGCTTTGGGGTCTCTGTGGCCAGAGAGGCCGTGGGAACAGGCTCCTGCAGCTCCCAGGAGGGGCTGTGGAGACGGGGGAGCTGGGGAAGGCAGGTCAGAGCCCCCCATCTGCGGAAGGGGAAACTGAGCCCCCAAAGGAGAACTGGCCTGAAGCCAGACAGCCAGTGACCCGTCATGGACGAAGTGTGCTCTGGGCAACCAGGCCTGGACGCCGGGGAGGCCCGCAGCAGCAGCCATCCCGACATCCTTGGCTTAGAGCCCTGTCCCAGCGTAGCAGCCCCCAGCCAAGCACCAAAGACCCCAGGCCCCCTACAGTAGGAGCTGTCCTCCTGATGCTCCCACTTCTAGGACCATACCTCAGACCCTGCCGGCTCTGCTCCATCCCACCACCCCTGCTCTAGAACACTCCGTGGCTCCCCCGAGTCTGAGTTAGGCTGCAGTCTCGGGTTCCCCACCTTCCATCGCCCACATCAGCAACGCTGCCCCCTGCTTGGAGGCACCAGAACCTCCTCAGGGACACGTGTGTGCCCCAAAGAAAGCACCCAGTGACTGGGGGTGATGGCCCAGTCGACAGTCCCTGATCGGGTCCAGCCCTCACTTGCTGGCAGACTATGGCAAAGACGCCCACCCCAAGGGTCACCCAGCAGGAGAGTGGGGCCCTGAAGCCACCTTCCTGGCCCAGCCCCTCCCCCAGCAGACAGCTCCTGAGCACGGGGCACAAGGACCTCCCCACTGCTGGCCTGCGGTGACGTTCCACAGTCCTGCATCCTGAGCATCCATGCAGGACTCCACCATGCTCGGGCCGGGCACCCAGGACAGAGAGGGGTCGGCGGCGCCGGAGGCCTGGGGACCCCCGGCGGGAGATGAGCAGGGAGATGAGCAGGGCAGGCGCAGGTCTGACGGCCGACACCGGCCCCCACCGGCCCCCACCGGCCCTTCCTGGGGCCGCCCTCCCCACCGCCTGCCAGCCCCCACGCCGAGCCCATAGCTTCCTAGCACGTCTGTGAGCTTTATCCCGCATGTGTGACTGCCAGCTCGGGCAGCCCTGCCCACAGCCTCTCGGGGCCTGGCATACAGTAGGCTCTCCAGTTTGCTGGGTCAGGGAGAAAGTAAGTCCTGACTGGCTGCTAGAGCCAGGTCCCAAACCATACTGTGACCCTAAAGATGCCAGCCCCGCTGAGGACCACTGCCCGGATGATGAGAACCCTCCTGCCCGCCGACAAGAAGGCTCAGAGCCATGGCCACGGTCCAGGTTGGAAGGAGGGAGGTGGTGTTTCCCGCACACCTTCTGAATGTCCACCCATGTGACTGACCCCACACCTTGCTGCTCCCATTCTATAGATGCAGAAACTGAGGGCCGAGGCACTAGGTACCTGGCAAGAAACTCGAAATCCAGGCCCTCCTGACTCTAGCTCAGCCTGCCCTGTTGTACCTGCCAGCCCTGGGAAAAGCCCCACGGGGCAGCAAGGGGTACCAGGGACCCCGGAGAGCAGGTGACAGCAGCGAGGGAGGCTGCGTGGAGGTGGCCCAGCCAGGCAGCTGGTAGGGAGGCCATGCCAGACAGAGGGCACAGGTCAGGGCTGGCCAAAGGGGAGAAACCACAGTGCACCAACTGTTTACAGCCTACAGTGAGGTTTGGAGGCTCTGGGGAACAGGCAAGGCCAAGGTCTTGGGGGAAACCATCACCAATCGCTGGAGCCACAGCCCCAGCCGCTCCCGGCTCTGCCCCTCCAGCCAGATGCTACCGGGAGAGGCCCGTGCCCTTTCTGCCTGACCCACCCTCCCGGCTCGGGTCTGCCAGCCAGTGAGGCACCAGTGTCCCCATCTGGATGTGAGCCCCCAAGGCCAGTAGCACAGGTCCTGTGTGTCTGCAGACTCCCCAGGCCCCCCCACCAGGGAGCAGGGTGGCCTCACACCAGCTCGGGGCTGACTGTGTGCACCTCTTCCCAGCCACGTGGGCATGAAGTCAAGCTGGCTAATGCTTCGAGTCGGGGCTTTGGTGAGCATTTCTCAGCACAAACTGCCCAGTGCCCTGAGGTCATTGTTGAGCCTCCCACCCGTGGCACCTCCAGGAACCCCTCACCTTCCAAACCGCCTCTTGTCTGGAAAAGGAGCCCACCCACCTGGCTTTCTCCCTGTCCGCCACCACACCCATGCCACTGACTCTGCATTGACCAGCCACCCTCAGCCAGGGCCTAAGCTGGCATGGAGACAAAGGGGACTCGCTGGGGCCCCCAGCCCCAGCCTGGTGGTCAGGGAAGCTGTCCTAGAGGAGAGCAAGGTCAAGGAGGAGCCAGTAAGCCAAGGAGACAGCCTGGAAGTCCCTCCGTTCACCACCTACATTTTCTCCCACCACACTGACCACTTGGGGGTGGGGGGGGAGGGCCACGACCCGCCCTGCCCCCCTCCAGCCAGTGGGGTCCTGAAGCTGACCCCCATCACCCACCTCTGATTCCCGCATGGGGCATGGCACAGAGCAAACAATTATGGGGTGTGTTGGGGGGTGGCCAGCTCCTCAAAGGGACATTTGAGGAGCAGCCTCTCCCCCTGAAGAGCAGCCTCACGTGAGGGTGGCCTGGGTAGCAGTGGAGAGACACCCATGCCTGTCTCCGGTTAGGCCCCAGACTCAGCCTCTCCTGTTGCCTCCTTACAGCAGCCTGCAGGGTAGGCCAAACAGCACCCACTTCACAGATGGGCAAACCAAGGCTCCGGTTAGATCTGCAGGTGAGGAGGACCTGACTCCACTTCACTGGGCCTCAGCCTCCTCAACTGAGAAACGGGGTTAATAACCTCATGGGAGGATGTGAGGTCACCTGCACAGAGCTCTGAAGAGGCCCCTGGGCAAGAAGAGCACAGGTTCCCTCCATGGACCCCATCTGGTCCCCACCCCCAAGCTGCTCCAGCCCAGGTGCATCCCTTGAGTCCAAACACCAGGCTGAGGCCCAGGAACCCACTATCACGTGCAGAGCTGACCACAGAGCCTGCAGGCCAGGAGTCGAGGTGCAGCGCATGCCGAACAGCCCTGGGCTGGGGTGGCCATGGGCACTGCGACCTGATGGCCTGGACGCCCTGCCACCCTCAAACCTGCTCTCACAGAGCAAATGTGCCAGGCACTGGCCTGAGAGGTCACCACACGACACAGGGGCAGCGCTCTGCCGGCTTGCCGCTGAGCATGCCACCCATCCCAGCCACCAGCAGCCCAGCAGAACCCTGGGGCGTGTGCAGAGCCACCTGTTTAATCCCTGCGACACCTGGGATAAGGCTGCTGACCTGGTTCTGCAGGTGGGCTACTGCTTCGAGAGGTAGGCACTGCCAGGCTACCAGGCCTAGCAAGAGCCTGAGCCGGGCCGCAGACCACATACTGGGACCTGGAGCTCAGACTCCCGCGACATCCGCTGCCATCCCGGTCCTACCGCAGGACAGGGAAGCCCACGGGGTTCTGATGACAAGTCCCTCCGAACGACGCCCATGAAGAAACTGAGCAGGGAATGGGGCTGAACCAGATCCTGGGGCGGGCCTTCGGGAGGATGAACGGGGTACAGGGGTCACCCGCCCCCCACAAACGGGAGCGGGCTCAGCTCTTCCAGCCGGGGGCGCCCCGCTGCCCGCATGAGGGGTAAAACAGCGGGCTGGGCCTGAGCCCGGCCTCCAGCCGGCGCCCCGCACGTGGCCGCGCCCAGGCCCGCGTTCCCGCAGCGCTGCGGCCAGGCCAGGGCGCGGGGTCCCGGGACGCGCCCAGGGCAGGAGGCGGCCACGCTCCTCCTGCGCGCCCACGGCCCCACGCGCCCGCGCCGCGCGCCCCAGCCCGAGCGCGCGCCGAGGAGA